GCATTTATTTGTTTGATTATCTGATTGACAGTCACCTCCCCCACTAGGATGCAAACTCCACAGGGCAGAGATTATGTCTTTTTTCTCACTAGAGTATTCAGGACAGTAGTGCGGTTCAAAAATATCCATTGGATGATTAAATAATGCACAGATGGGAACATGTTCTTAACAATTTTGACACATTTGGGAGATTAATGGGATTAATGGGTGGTTAATGGGGAAATGGGGGGAAAAAAAGGAGAGGAAGTTCCCCAGATTCGAGGTTTTTCTTTCCAAACTGATCCTGAGTAGACCTCTTCCACCTTAGAGTGTTTTCTGGCTTCAGGCCTCATGGGAAAGTTAGAGAACCTTCTAGAACTGGCTCCCACTTGCTATCCAGGCCAATCCACAAGCATTAATTGAGCATCTTCTATGTTGTAGATGCTGCCAGGATGTAAAAAGAAGACTGCGGCCCAATCCCTACCTTCACAGAGCTCCAACTACCAGCCCATCAGTATAGACCACTGGGAAACCCCAAGGCTTTGGAAACAGACCTGGGTTTGCAACCTGGTACTACTGTGTGACAAGAAAACCTCTAAGGACTCAGTTTTTCCTCCCTAAATACAGGTAACGCCTAGGGCTGTTTGAAAGTCAAATGAGGTATGGTACATAGTAGGTCTTGGTACAAAGGTTCTCTGGCATCATGACTGGCCCAAGCAATACTGGTTATGTGTATCCAGAAGAATATTTTAGGCTGGGTGACCCAGAAGTGCTTCATCAAAGAGAAGGGCTTGAGCCAGACGTGAGAGAAGAGCCTGGTGTGCGTTTGTCCAGTTTTCCTGGCTGCTCACAGCCTGAGCCTCCTACCTACCTGCATCTGGCAAATGCCCATTGCGTAGGCTTTGATGGGAGCCAGGCCACTACCTGCCACAAAACCCGACACTTGCTCTCCCAGACTTCCTGGCTCCAAGGTGTAGGCAAAAGCCGGATGTTTTGCCAGTTGGAAGCTCCAACTGGGACTTGGAATCTGGAGCAAGTCACAGAGAAGCAGGGGCAGTTGAGAATTCATTTCTGCAGTGGTGGCAAGCAGAGCCAGCAGTGGCCTCTAGTGTCTGGAGGAGGAAATGTCAGCCTCGATGCCAGGGTGAGAGGAGGCCTCACTGCAGTGGGTGGAGGGGCCAGGGGCTTTTTAAGCAGGATGTCATGTGCCCTGACCTTGACTGTGGTGCTGGCTGCCCAACTTCCCTTGATGCCTACCTGTTTGCGGAAACTTGTTTGGCAGCCCTTGTATTGATTCTGTATGCTACCCAGTGTCTCTCTAATTGTGTGTGTGTGTGTGTGTGTGTGTGTGTTGTATGTATATGCGTGTGTGTCGGGGGGTCCTTTTCTTTTTTTATTTTGCCAGAGTTAGTTCCTGCTGTTTCCTGACTGACCTTGGTATAAGAGGAAGGGATAGATTAGGTTAGGTCACTCCAGAATCTTCCAGATCTCTTTCTTTTTACTTCTCTTGTCTCAACAGACATTTGTCTAGCACCCTACCATGTATGTGGTTTCATATTAAGAGTAGGAATACAGAGAGCTTTAAGTTTCAGTCCCTGTACTCAGGGAGATGAAAACCTCGTTGGGACACAGACAAATGACAGCCAAGGGAAATTATGTGGAACACATCTAGCAAGCAAAGGGTTAATTTCCTTTGTTCACAGGGAATTCCGACAAATGTATGAGAAAAGACAAACAATGCAGTTCTTTAAATGGGTGGAGGGCACAGACAAGACAGTTCACAGAAGAGAAAGTACTGGCTTTTAAATATGAAAAGATGCTCAGTATCATTCATAGCAAGAGAATCATAAAGGAAAGCTGCAGCGGAATACTTTCACTTCCTGGATGATTGATGAAGGTCAAAAAGTGTAATGTGTTGTATGGACACAGGCGGGCTCATACATTGGTAGTAGGAGGGGTGTTTGGATATAACTTCTAAAGAGAGCAGTATGAAGTATATATCAAAAATCAAGGTATATAGGGGCTTCCCTGGTGGTGCAGTGGTTGAGAGTCCGCCTGCCGATGCAGGGGACACGGGTTCGTGCCCCGGTCCGGGAAGATCCCACATGCCGCGGAGCGGCTGGGCCCTTGAGCCATGGCCGCTGAGCCTGCGCGTCCGGAGCCTGTGCTCCGCCACGGGAGAGGCCACAACAGTGATAGGCCCGTGTACTGCAAAAAAAAAAAAAAATAAAAGTTAAATTAAATTAAAAAAAAAATTAAAGGCCTTTGACCCAGTAATGCCAATTCTAATAATTTGTGGTTGTACATATGTGCAAAGAAGCATGTACAAGGGTTGCAGCATTCTTTTCATAGCAAACAATTAAAAACAACCTAAATACTATATCATTAATAGCAGACTGGTTAAATAAGCAATGGTACAAGGTACTGTGGAATTCTATATTGTCACCAAAAAGAACAAGGTATATCTATATGTACTGATGTGCACCATCTTCTAGATTTATTGTTAAGTAAAAAAAACAAGGTGCAGAGCAAAGCGTATTTAAATGCGTGTGTGCACACATTAGTATATACGTAGATGTCTGGAAGGGAGTACTAACCAAGAGTGAACAGTGGCGGCTGCCAAGAGGGGAACAAAGGAAGGGGACTTATTTTTGCTGTTTGTAAATCTCTTTGGTACCTGACAAGTACTGAAGCATGTGCACATAGTAACTGGTCAAATGTAATATTTTTAAATCTAGCTGGGGAAATAGGATATCAGCAACAAGCTAAGTGCTATGGTACAAGGCAGTCCATGCCAAGTACTGAATGAGTGATAGAGACAGCCAGTAAGAGGGAGAATCTAGATGAGGCAGAGGTCTCCAGTGCTAGATGGGTCCTGGGTGACTGTGATCTAACCTGGAAAAAATGGCAACACTGAGGCCAGCAGGGGGAGGTGGCGTTCCGGAAGGAGGGAATGCAGCTTCGGAGGCAGGCATGCTCCTGACACATTAGAGGCGAGGGAGTAAGTGTGCTGGGTGGAATCCAAGGTTGGGGCTCTGTCTCTTGTGTCTGCCTGCAAGAGGTAATTGTCCCCTGGCTTTAGAAGCTGCAGGGATGACAGCATTCCCCTGCACTGAGGGAGTCCCCAGGAGCCAGGCTGGGTGGCGCTCCCAGCTGTCCCATGGAGATCTGGGTTGCCACCTCCCCACATCCACACCCAGTCCAACCTAGGCCTGCCAGGGCTTGCCTGCAGAGTTAGTAGCTGGGAGGCCTCATGGGGTCAGAGAAGAGGTGGCCATCCAGCTGCCCAGGGTGGGTTGGCTGGTACAGCCATCAGGAGGGGAACCTGGCCACCTCTGTGGATACCCAGCCGTGTTGAGTGGTAAAGACCTTCCTCAGGGCCCTCCCTCCTGGCCTCTCCCAAACCCTTACCTCACCTATTGGATGTCAGTGGCAGAGGGCTTTTAGAGGACACTGACAACCCCAAGACGTGGCCCCAGAGACACCTCTGCCCTTGTTCAGCCCTGGAAGCTGGGTCCCTCCTCCGCCCCACATGCCCTCTACCACAGTGCCTGGGCACGGAAGTGTCAAGCATCACCCCCTCCCTGCCTTCAAGGCACCTGAGTCACTGTCTGGGCACTGCAGAGCTGGCAGGCCCTGAAGAGGTGGCGTCTGGAGAGGTGCCTGTGTCTGCTGAGGGCAGGAGGGGAGGACACCCTAGGAAGGGGAGGGCAGCAGCATAAGCTTTGGCCCAGGCTGACCTGGGTTTCAATCCCAACTCCTCCACTTACTAGCTGGGTAACCTTGTGCAAGTCACATGACTTCTCCAAGCCTCAGTCACCACATCTATAAAATGAGCATTCATCCAACAAGTCTATTTAACAAATTTGAGAATCTATGTGTCAGACAGCATTCTGGGTCCTGAGCGTAGAACAGGCCTTGTTCCCATGGAGCTTCCAGTCCAGTGGGTGGGTACAATAACTGTATTTACCTCAGGATTAAAGAAGATAGTGTGGATGCAGGACCTAGTATACTAGGAGCTGAATAAATGACAGTGATTTTTTTCTGGTGTTTGAAAGGCTCCCCAAATAACCTCTCTTTCTTCCCCAAATTTGAAACCAGTTAATAGAAAGACACAGGACAGAGATTTGAAATTCAATCCTTTCAGAGAGAGAGAAAAAAAAATGGGTTGGAGGATATAGCTGAGCTATTCAGGCAAAATGGGTTCCTAAATAATTAAGCTATCCTCCTAACCCAGAAGGCGTGGCAGAAAATCCACATACAAGGATTTTAGGGCAGCCACCTGGTTGGAAGTGGGGGCTTAAAGCTGTGCGTGTGGCATAGTTTGAAGAAAGGTGATTTGTCTTTATCAAAAAGTGATGAATGTGATGGAGATTACAGGGAGGCAAGCTCCCCCTTGACCCCCATTCCCCCGTTGTTGCTTCCACTGTACCACTTCTGCCTTAATGCCAGCTTCCGGACTCTCTACACTCCACACTGAAGAAGACAGGAGGGTGGGCTAGTGAGGACCAGCTGTATCAGACTACCCTGAGGCACTACTTCACATCCCCTGGCCTCACCAGGCTCTTTTTGCAGCCCTGTGCAGCTCGGACCAGCTTCACACACAGACAGCGCCTCACCTCCTGCCCAGGGATTCCCTGTTGACCCTGCAGCCCAAGTGTGTGCAACCTGAAGTACAGGCAAGTTAATGTTTGATGAGGCGAAGGTTTAACCAAGGGAAGAATGGAGCCAGTGCAGAAATTCCCCACCCTCACCTCCTCTCCTGCCCACTCTCCCAGGGAATGGTCTGAGATGCCATTTATCCAGCTACATCTCTAGGGTGAGTTCTCCCTCCTTCTCTGCTTGACCCACCTCGGCCCCCATTCTGCTCCGTGGAATTGCACTCATTAATGAAATCTGAAGTCAGATCTGCTTCCTGGGGAACCCAGGCTAAGATACCAGTCTTCCTATCTCTTATGAAGGAAAAGCCCCCCGCCCCCATGGTTTTTCCCAAGAGGAAAAGACATTTGTGAGACACTAAGGCCATAGCACTTTATTCAGGACAGACGTGAAGGATTCCCCCAGTATTCATCCCCCTCCTCCTCTTCTCCCTCCCCCTCCACACTATCCATGCCCACCTCCTCGTAATCCTTCTCCAGGGCAGCCATATCCTCCCGGGCCTCGGAGAACTCACCCTCCTCCATGCCCTCGCCCACGTACCAGTGCACAAACGCCCTCTTGGCATACATCAGGTCGAACTTGTGGTCCAGGCGGGCCCAGGCCTCAGCGATGGCGGTCGTGTTGCTCAGCATGCACACGGCACGCTGCACCTTGGCCAGATCACCCCCGGGCACCACAGTGGGGGGCTGGTAGTTGATGCCAACCTTGAAGCCCGTGGGGCACCAGTCCACGAACTGAATACTGCGCTTGGTCTTGATGGCAGCGATGGCGGCGTTGACATCCTTGGGCACCACGTCTCCACGGTACAGCAGGCAGCAGGCCATGTACTTGCCGTGACGGGGATCACACTTCACCATCTGGTTGGCAGGCTCGAAGCAGGCATTGGTGATCTCTGCCACCGACAGCTGCTCGTGGTAGGCTTTCTCTGCAGAGATGACTGGCGCATAGGTGGCCAGGGGGAAGTGGATGCGAGGGTAGGGCACCAGGTTGGTCTGGAACTCCGTCAGGTCCACGTTGAGGGCGCCGTCGAAGCGCAGGGAGGCCGTGATGGAGGAGACGATTTGGCTGATGAGGCGGTTGAGGTTGGTGTAAGTCGGGCGCTCGATGTCTAGGTTGCGGCGGCAGATGTCGTAGATGGCTTCGTTGTCCACCATGAAGGCACAGTCTGAGTGCTCCAGGGTGGTGTGGGTGGTCTGGATGGAGTTATAGGGCTCCACCACGGCTGTGGACACCTGCGGGGCTGGGTAGATGGAGAACTCCAGCTTGGATTTCTTGCCATAGTCAACAGAGAGCCGCTCCATCAGGAGTGAGGTGAAGCCAGAGCCAGTGCCCCCTCCAAAGCTGTGGAACACCAGGAAGCCCTGAAGTCCTGTGCACTGGTCAGCCTAGAACGTGAAGGCGAAGAGAAACATGGGATGTGAAGCACAGCTGACCAACAGCAAAGAACCAGCTCGTGCTGTTTGAGATTTCCCCAAAAGTTTCATAAAATCCTTGGAAGACTTTTCCAAGGGCACAAAATAGACCCTGATAAGGAGGTCCCACTCTCTCCTCCTTGTCTCTCTTCCTCTCTCAAACCTCCTGAAGCCTTCCACAGACAGCTCTCTTGACTCTTGTGCCATGGTCATTTTTGTCATCATAACTTGCCAACTCCACCCGGCTTCCTACCCGTGCCCCCTGATCTAACCAGATGTTTCTGGAGGGCTTCCTTACTGAGATGAACAGCCCAGGAACCTGATCCCTGTCCTTGCTGGAGGCTGAAGTTGATCAGAGGGCCTTGAGCTGGTATTGTTTGGATCCCTGTTTTTCACAGGGCCTTCTGCCCACATACCTACAATACAAGGTGGCATTCTGGGACTGCTTATGGGTGCTCATATCTTGGCCAGGCAGCCTATCAACTGGCAGCCACTCTGCCCAGCATCGGGCCACTTACTATAGAAGATAAAAGGGACACCCAGCTCCAGGCTGGAGCTCATACTCTGCCTCCCCTCCTCACTAGTCCTGATCCTGTGTGTTTAATGCTTGTCCAGGAGACTCTCCCAAGGATGGAAGGTGCCCTTCCCTTGTCTGGTCTCCAGACCACTTCACAACAGGAATCCAGATTCCCCCAGCCCTCAGCTCTTCTCTCACCAGCTTCTGAATCCGGTCCAGCACCGGGTCGATGAGCTCCTTTCCGATGGTGTAGTGGCCACGGGCATAGTTATTGGCAGCATCTTCCTTGCCAGTGATGAGCTGCTCTGGACAGAAGAGCTGGCGATACGTGCCCGTCCGAACCTCATCTGCAGTGGGCAGAATTCTAGGTCCCCCTCCCCTTGCAGCCTGGCTCCTGGAGCCCCAGGGTACCCAGAAGGGGTGGGGTCACCAGGCCCGAAGTTCTACCCTAGAGGAGCCCCATTCAGCCTGCTGTTATTGCCCTTGATCGTAAGTGTACTTCAACGAAAAGGAAAGAGATGTGGAGTGACCTTGAGACTCTGGAGCTGAGTGACAGCAGAGCTGGAGTTCTGATTCGCTGCAGCAACTGGGGACGACAAACCAGTGCTCTCCAATTATGGAGAAGGACTTGCTGTGGTAACTGGGACAAGGCCGTGGCAGGGGCTGGTCATCACTCACCAATCACAGTGGGCTCCAGATCCACAAACACCACCCGGGGCACGTGTTTGCCAGCCCCAGTTTCACTAAAGAAGGTGTTGAAGGAGTCATCCCCTCCCCTGATTGTCTTGTCGCTGGGCATCTGCCCATCTGGTTGGATCCCATGTTCCAAGCAGCAGAGCTCCCAGCAGGCATTGCCGGTCTGCACTCCAGCCTGCCCCACGTGGACTGAGATGCACTCACGCTGAGTGGACAAAGGGCAGAGAGAAGCGTATCATGCCTGGACACGATTCCTGCCTTCCTTCCTTGCGTGGTTCCCTGGCTGAGAGCAAGAGTTCCTGGACTTTGCTCTCGGCGCCCCACGTCCCGGGGGTGGGGGGCAGTGGTGGCGGGCAAAACCCTCAGGGGAAGCAGAAGATGTGACCAGTTCTAAGATTATAGAGTCTTTGCTCAGTGACTAAGCATCTTGAGGAACATCGAGGGGCTCAGATGAGTCTGACAGAGCATGATAGGCAACACACCCATGTCCAGAAAGAAAGAAGGGGCCATTAGTAAGGAACACAAGATCCAAGTGAGGTTTCAGGGGTCAGGGACAAGGATGAGGTTTAGAAAAGCAGAAGGAACTCTGGATTCATGTTAAAGCTAGGAATGCCAGCAAGGAAGGGGAGAGTGGGCCTGGGATGGATGTGTGTGTGCTGTTCTTTCCTCTTGGGTGTGTGTGGTTCTGGAGTGATGAGGGGCTGGGAAGAGAGTTCTTCCTCACATGACTCAAGGCTGGTCAAAGAGTTCTTGGCCCCCGGAGCAGGACTGGGGTAACCTGCTTGGTCCTAGAAAAAGAGAAAGGTCATTGCCCTTCCTGGGGAGCCCCATGAGCATCAAAAAGACTTGACCCTCCTGCTTCATCATGTACTGAGCCTCCATTATCTGCCTGACACCGGGCGGAGACTGGGGATACATAACACCTAATACCCAGTCTCTGCGCTTAAGAAACTCACTGTCTGGGGAAGGGAGCGTTTCATACGATAACAGATACGTGACAGTGTGGTAAGTAGGATCCCAGAAAGTTTCTTCCTGCTTGAGAAGTATTTACGGCAGACTTTAACAACAAAACGAGCACCCACATCCATCAGATTTCCCCAAGCTTTAAGGCTTAATCATGTGGAGGGTGTAGAGAAATGAGAATTCTCAGGCTGCTGCTGGAAGCCCAAAGTGACGCATCTTTTTTGGAGAGTGGTCTGGCAATATCTAGGAAAGCTGAAGATGCTCTAGAGAAATTCTCACATAGGTGCACAAGAAAACAGGTGCAAGAACAGTCACAGTACCATAGCAACGGAAGCCGATTAAACGTCCTTCAACAGGAGAAAATAAAGGATGATTCAGAAGTGGACGTGGATGAATACAGGAAAGAATCTTGGGCTTCCCTGGTGGCGCAGTGGTTAAGAATCTGCCTGCCAATGCAAGGGACACGGGTTCGAGCCCTGGCCCAGGAAGATCCCACATGCTGCGGAGCAACTAAGCCCGTGCGCCACAACTACTGAGCCTGAGCTCTAGAGCCCGCAAGCCACAACTACTGAGCCCACGTGCCACAACTACTGAAGCCCGCGCGCCTAGAGCCCGTGCTCCGCAACAAGAGAGGCCACCGCAATGAGAAGCCCACGCACCACAACGAAGAGTAGCCCCCGCTCACTGCAACTAGAGAAAGCCCGTGCACAGCAACAAAGACCCAACACGGCCAAAAATAAAATTAATTAATTAATTAAAAAAAAAGAGTCTTGCCCCCCAAAATTCTTTTTTTTTTTTTTGCGGTACGCGGGCCTCTCACTGCTGTGGCCTCTCCCGTTGCAGAGCACAGGCTCCGGACGCGCAGGCTCAGTGGCCATGGCTCACGGGCCCAGCCGCTCCGCGGCACATGGGATCCTCCCGGACCGGGGCACGAAGCCGTGTCCCCTGCATCGGCAGGTGGACTCTCAACCACTGCGCCAGCAGGGAAGCCCCTTGCCCCCCAAAATTCTTCATAGAAAAAAAGCAAGTTAAGAAGAATCATAATACAGTACTATTTATATAAATCTTTAACTTGTATGCATCGTTTACAGATAAATTTTTATATTTGCTATATATTCTTGGAATGTATTACAGAAGTAAAGAAAGCAAGGGAAAATATTAGCACCCAATTTGGAATAATGTTAGAGGAGGGAGGTGAATGCATTCAGAGAAGGATTCTGTTTCTTAAGCTGGGTAGCAGGTGTTCATTATATTATTCTTTATACCTTTTCTCATGTCTGAAATATTTCATAATGAGGATGCTTTATCCATAAATTTTACACTTCTCTGACTTTGTAAATATGACACAAGGGCCTTGACTTTTTATGATTTTTAGATGACTGGGATTAATACATAGACCACCTGTATCCCAGCCCCATTACTCCCCCACTTGCCTCTCTGTGGGCGTCTTCCCCTGGTGAAGTGGGGCGGTAACAAGAGCCCCTCCTAGAATCACTCTGCAGATGAAAGAATGCGTGTAAGTTGCCCGGCTCATTGGACGACACAAAGTAGGGTGCGCCATACCTGTCGGACCCCCTTACCAATTCCCCATCCCCCAACCCCGGGGGTCATAGTAAGAGAAAGTAATGAATTAAGCTGGGAGGGATTTCGGGACAAAGGACTCCAGAAATCCCCAGGTCCAGGAGGGAGGGCTGACTCAGCTCACCAATCACCTGGCTGGCAGGGCCAGCACCCGCTGCTGCACCTCAGAGCCTGCCCAGGCTCTGTGCACAAAGCCAGACCCTGTCCTGGCTCCCACAGCTGCTGGCCCACGCAAGGTGTGTCTGACCTGGGGTATGCCGGGGTCGCTGGAAACGATGCCCCTCACTCTGGGTTTGGGCAAAGAATTCAGCCCCTGGAATCACACAGACTTGACCTCAAACCGCACCTCAGCTTCTCCCATTCCCTTTTCTTGCCGGTGAAAATAGTATAATCTCACGCTCAGCAGGCTTCGTCATTAGGTTGTTTAGTTCTGTATAGTGAGCATTAATTAGGTGCCAGGCACTGTGCTCAGCGCTTCACATACACTATCTGCTTTAATCTTTACAACAACCCCCTTAGGTAGGTGTCTTTATTACCCTATTTTACTGACTCTCAGAGAGGTCAAACAACTTGCTCAAAGTCACGAGCAAAACCAGGAATATTCAGAGAGGGGACAGTCTGGGTCCAACCACACTCCTAACTGCCCTTCTATCCTGCCTGTCGGGGATCCGGGTAAAAGATATCAAATGAGCCCCATACACAGCACCCTCCCTCTCCCCACTGATATGTAGCTGAAATGAGGGGTCAGACCAAGGCACAGCAGAAGAACAGGACTATGAAGATATGTCATTACAGCCGGGAGGTGGGACCAGAGGCCAGCAGGGGCCCAAGGTTTGCAGGAAAGTGCCTACACTTGCTGCCCCTGTCCTGCTTACCCCACTCTCCCTACCCCTAAATTCAGAGCCCTTCAGCAGCCCCTCAGACTCAGACCATGTCCTAGTTACCATGGCCTGTCTCTCTCTATCCCCTGAACATACCAGCACATTTAGGGGGCTGCACTCACATCTGGAAGTTTCTCTCCCTCTCCCCCACCTGACCTGCCCACACGCTGTAACCCCATGAACACCTGGACCATGGGACCCTCGTTTGCACGCTCAGCCCCACCTCTGCTTACCATGCTGCCTGGCTGGGGGCTGGCTGGGGTCGTCTATCTGTCTGTCTGCTGCAAGTTGGAAGGCAGGGACAGGCCTGTGACGGACCCACAACTGCCGGCCTCCTTATCCTCTCTGGTCTGCTCTCGGGGAGGTGGGGGGTGGGAACTCCATTTCCTGATGGTTCTGCCTGGCCCTCACAGGTGAGAGGGGATTTAGAAATCAAGCCCCCTGAGCTCCAGCACTGCCCTCACCCCCAAGGTTGGTGAGGATTGGAAGAGGAGTAGGCGGGGCTAAGAAAAGTCTGCAGTGGACCAGAAATGATGAGTCCTAGGGCAAGAGGTCAACTCAGGGCCTTCTGGGTGGAAACTCAGAATATCACAGAACAGAGGGAACTAGAGCTCAGGTTAGCCCCGTCTCAAGCACTTAACTTCCTTTGCCTCAGTTTTCTCATCTGCAGAATGGGGAGAGGTAGTATTGTGAGATTAAACAAGATAAACTTCCTTACATGTTTAGTCCAGAATTGCTGTTGTTCTCCACAGGCAAAGCAAGATGCTGAGCATCTTCAGGGCTATTCCTAAGTGTCTCTCCCTGTTCCAATCCAAGTCTTTGCTGTCCCAGCCTGGCCTATTTCCCCACAGAAGGAGTCACCATATGGCCTTGGGCAAAATTATGAGATAAAAATGTTACTCTCGGGCTTCCCTGGTGGCGCAGTGGTTGAGAGTCCGCCTGCCGATGCAGGGGACACGGGTTCATGCCCCGGTCTGGGAAGATCCCACATGCCGCCTGTGCTCCGCAATGGGAGAGGCCACAACAGTGAGAGGCCCACGTACCGCAAAAAAAAAAAAAAAAAAATGTTACTCTCTCACATTTGTATCCTGCTCTGTAGTTCTAAAGGCAGCTTCACCCCTTATCTCCTTTGAGTCCCTCAACAACTTTGTGAGGTAGGCAAGGTGAGGCCTCCACTCCCAGAGGAAGAAAAGGAAATTGCAGCCCCTTATGTTTTGCCCAAGGTCACGTGGGAGTTAATTAGTGGTGGAATTAAGATTCTCTGGAACTCAGGCTCAGTGACTCTCCTCTTTCCACATGGCAGAGTTGTCAATGTCCCTCATCCCCCTGCTGTGTTTTTTTTTTTTTTTAATAAATTTATTTATTTTTATTTATTTTATTTTTGGCTGCGTTGGGTCTTCTTTGCTGCGCGTGGGCTTTCTCCACTTGCGGCGAGTGGGAGCTACTCTTCGTTGCGGCACGCGGGCTTCTCATTGCGGTGGCTTCTCTTGTTGCGGAGCACGGGCTCTAGGTGCGCCGGCTTCAGTAGCTGTGGCTCGCGGGCTCTAGAGCGCAGGCTCAGTAGTTGTGGTGCACGGGCTTAGCTGCTCTGCGGCATGTGGGAAGCCCCCCTGCTGCGTTTTTATTTTCTTTCTTCCCATCCTAAATTCTATGGGGCTTCCCTGGTGGCGCAGTGGTTAAGAATCCACCTGCCAATGAAGGGGACACGGGTTCGAGCCCTGGTCCAGGAAGATCCCACATGCTGCGGAGCAACTAAGGCCGTGCGCCACAACTACTGAGCCTGCACTCTAGAGCCCGCAAGCCACAACTGCTGAGCCCATGTGCCACAACTACTGAAGCCCGCATGCCTAGAGCCTGTGCTCTGCAACAAGAGAAGCCACCACAATGAGAAGCCCTCGCACCCCAAACGAAGAGCAGCCCCCGCTCACCGCAACTAGAGAAAAGCCCGTGCGCAGCAACGAAGACCCAATGCAGCCAAAAAAAAAAAAAAAAAAATTCTATGGTCAGTGGTCAACACTCCCTTGCACGTCCCTCAACTCCCTCTCCTCCGTCTAGCTTCAGTTTCCTCGTTTGACTAAACCACAACCCTGGTTAAATCCATTTCTTCACCAATTCTGTGCCTGCACTGACCCAGCTAAACAGTGGCTGTAGAAAAACCCAGAACCATACTGACTGATCTGACTTCAAATGCATGACCACTAACCTCAAATGGACCCTAAAGCTGCCTGGAAACCACATTACCTGTCTCCAGTCACACTTGCAGCCAGCACCGTGACCAGGAATAGGAATGCTAGATTTAGCAAACAGCAGCCCTACCCAGGAAGAAGATGCTAATGTGAATTTTCAGCCAATGTGGCAAATGGTGAGAGAGTTATCCTGAGGTTGGGTCTTTTTTCAGAGCCCTTCTCACCACAGCATACAAGGGTGCGACCCAGAATATTAAGATGGTTAACTCTGATTTTGGCTATGGACTGAAGTCTTCTCTCTCCTACCTGGAACTAAGAGGCCAAGATCCCTGGAGAGAAGACACAGCCAACCAACACTTCAAAGGTAAGGAAGCCCAGTCTACCCTGGGTTGATCCATGAAGCCATAGACCTCAGAAATTATTATCCAGATGAATGGACTTGGGACCCACTGGGCCCAGAAGTCTCCTGCTAGCACTCCAACTTCTCCCAACTGGTCTTTGAAGTTGGGCATCTCAGATTCAACCTAGACAACACTAATTCTGGAAAGAAAATTATCCCAAAGGCAGGCAGGGGGAGGGGTCTTATGTAAAACAGAGTAAAGAGACTGAGATTTTTTGATAGCATGTTAATGTGTCTGAGTTATAAAATGAGAGGTAATCTATACTCTTCGTTCCTTCAACAAATATTTATTGAGTGTCTGCTATGTGCCAAGCACTGTTCCAGATACCAGAGATACAGTGGTAAGCAAAAAGAGTCTGTGCTTTTTTATTTTATTTATTTATTTATTTATTTATTATTTTTGGCTGCGTTGGGTCTTCGTTGCTG